GCAATGGCAGTTTAGCAGTTCTGGAGACTGTCCTCTCATAACTAGCTAAGCAATTTTTGGTAAGTCTCTTAAATCTCTTGTCTATTTCCTCATTTATAAATAGAAAATTGAATAAGATGACTCTTCACTTCTAAAATTTCTTGTTTCTGTTGTTTTAATGTAAGAGATGTGAATTTCATGGAAGCAGTTGACAACTTCAGAAAGCACATGAGGGTCAGCAGTAAAGTAGTCAGTTAGAATAATCGTGATGGGTCTAGGGATATACTCAGTGGTAGAAAACTACCAAACATTTACCTTTCAGATCTGGTCAGTGATGTGGATGAGTACACACTGTAATGGGATTTGACAAAAATTACTATAAACATTTTGAATCGATTCAGGATATTGAAGCAGGCATGAAAAGACACTTATGAAAGATTTCCAGAACTGCTTTAGAAAGTGTCAAGAAGGACAGGACATATGTGCTTGAAACTAGAGAGAGTATTTTGAGGTAGAATTATAGCAATGTAATTTTTATTGTAATTTTTTTTAATTTAAGCACTCACTATAGTTTTTGATCATATCCATATAGCCTGGTCTTTTATCCTTAATTACTTCAGTTTATATTTTCTAAGAATAGGCCACAGTAGTTATCAATTGCAGTGACTTTAACATTTATGTAATGCTTTATCTAATTAATCTACCATTAGTTATTAACCCAACAATGTCCTTTATACTATTTTTTCCTCTTCCAGGAAAGGACCCAGTATAGTATTTTGTATTACATTTTATCTTCATAGCTCTTATGTTGGAATATTTTCAGAACCTTTTTCTTTTATAACAAAAAAATAAAGCAGAACATTTCTCATTTGAGATTGATCTGACATTTTCTCATTACATTCCTAATTTCGCTTTTTAGATTCTGTGTCTTTGGGGAACCATATCTAGAGGCAAATAATGCCCATTTGTCCCTCATTTATGATGTTAATCTTGATTACCTGTCCAGGGCTTTGTTCAATTTCTCTAATATATAATTACTTCTTGTAATCAGGAACAAGTCTGTGGCAAAATTCTCTAAAATCATTTAAATATCTTGTTCCCATCTAAATTTCTTTATATTTAGATCCAATTATGATTTCTGCCTAACTCGATCTTTGCCATAATTGTGGTAAAATGACTTTTTCCAACTTCTGGGATCAGAGGCATGTGCCATTATGCTTGGCATGATGGTTATTCGTGATAAGCCAACTGGGTGTGTCTGAGTGGGTCATGAAGGTAGGACCTTTTGTACTATATATGGAACCTCACTCATTCCTCTCTGGCACTGTCACCTGCTCTGCTCGCAACTACCATGAACTAAACAGCCCTTCTGCCATGATGTTCCTATCTTGGAGTCAGGTGACTATGGACTGAATTCCTCCAAACCAAGCTAAAGCAAACCTTTCCTTCTTTAAATTGTAGGTATTGGGTATTGTGTCTCAGTGACAGGAAAGTGGGCTGGTACCATACAGTAAGAAGGAGACAGCAGAAAGATGTATTATGTACACCACCCAAATGTGTATGACTCAGGACTTGGGGACAGAGTAGGCTCTGACTACCTTATTAAATAGTGAAGATTACTAAATCCAACTAAGCTCTGGGGGACGGCTTGGTATCACAGCTTTTGTTATGAAGATACTTCTGGGTTATCAGGATTAGGTTTAGATGTATTGTGTTTTTTTAGTTTAAGGCAGAGAAGTTGGTGTTATTTCAGGAAAAAGAATCAATAAAAGTGCTTTTAAATTGTTTCTAGTGCTTCAAGATGAAAATCTGGTTATCTAGAATATCTAATTATTCTAACCACTCAATAGCACCTTCTTTTCCTAATCTTGTCAGAAAAGCAAAGCATTACTGAAAACTGCCTTTACAGTTAATACTGAAAATTATTAGTGCATGCAAACATTTGTTTGTACACTAACTGGCTTCCTCTAGAGTTGTTCCAGGGAAATATTAATCATTTTTAAAATAAATAAATTCCTGTTGATCCACACCTGGCATAGAGTTGCCCCTGGGAGAAGCAGCTTAATTTTAAACATTAATGTAAACTGTAAAATTTATGTGGTACATATATTTTTAGGGACTGTGGATCATCTTTGTCCTTGGTATCTTAATATCTGTGGCATATCTTAGTTGGGAAGTATGGGAAGTCTCTTTTACCTTTGTGTTTGTTTTCTGGAAAATCTCTCTCTTTGAAATCCTCTTATGCATCCTTCACCTCAAAGTGATATTTGGGTACATTGCTTTCTTTCCTTTTAAACCAGTTAAAATGTAATTGACAAAAAACAAAAACAAAACGTAACTGACAAATTTCTTTAAAATGTTCAGCTACTATATATTTGGAAAAGGATAGAGAAATAAAAGAGGCCTATATTGTTACTAAAATTATGCTGGTTGTAATAAAATTGTTACTGAAATAATCTTTCTTACATGGCCAATTTGATTTTGTTTTGTCAGCTACAATGAGACGAATTGTTTGTTCATATCTTTTTGCAGTGGTGGTCTCTTGTATTTGAACGATTTGTTCTATATCTAAATTAGTTCCTTGGCTTATCCCTTAAAACAATTTTGATGGATAGTAATATAACTGTTTCATGATGGTGAATCCCTGAAATTACTTTTAAGCATATTGAATTCTTATTGATTCCTATTTTATATAATGGCATTTCTATCTTATACATTAGGACTTTCTGTTATAATAAGACTGCAAGCTTTTGTCTTTTGGCAAAACAAATGGAATTTATAAAGCAACTTACACAATTTAACTGTGATAAAAGTGACCTGGTAAATAAAATCTGTTGCAGTTTCTCCTTGAGTGTAAAAATTCACTGTCTTCATTTATGTATCAGTGGATGGGAAAGAACACAGACTTTATAAAATAATTCTGAAGCTAGAACGACAACAATAACAACAGAAATATGGAGAATAAACTTTTTTTGTTATTTTTCACACACAAAATCTTACCAAATTTAGAAATCTGAACACTTAAAACTATGGTTTTACAGGTTATCGACATGAAAAATGAAACAATACTTAAGTATTTTGAACTTGGAGGTTGAGTAAGCAGAAGAATTTAGTATATCCATGGCCCATCTCATGAGTCATTATGGCTTTTCTCTTCAAAGTCCGAATGAAAACTTCACTGTTTTTACAGTAAACTGTGAAAATTATTGGCAGATGTAGCAACACAGGCCCACTTGTAAAAACAATTAATCAGTTTGCTGATTATGAAACCCAAATTTGAGGTTTTTTTTTTTTGAGACGAGGTCTCACTACGCAGTTCAGGCTGGCCTTGAGCTCACTTTGTAGCCCAGGTTGGTCTGGAACTCCAAACGATCCTCCCACCTCAGCCTCCCGACTGCTGGGATTACAGACGGGAGCCACCACGCCTGGCCCCAAATTTGAGTTTAAAGTAATTGTAAGACATTTATATAAAAAGGAATTGCCTGTTCCTCAGTTTTCCTGTTTCAGTTTCTCTATTTCTTAAGGGCAGTTAATTATTTGTGATAATGGCACATATATATTTATATATGATAAAAAATCATTGTACTGTTTGCAGTCAACCATCTTTTCCTTAATCTCTTACTAACACAGAAAACAAGAGTAAACATTTGTCCAACTCAATAGCTGGAAGGCATTTTTCCTCCAAGTGCTAATTCACTTTGCCTCTTGTTTCTTTGGGACATAAAGCAATTAACATCTATGGGAAAACTTCCTGTACACATAATGCATTTCTATCCCTTTTACCAGTAGTTTGATTTCCTTTTTCTTAAAATCATTTGGAAAAAAAAATGGAGGGGAGGCCTTTTGGTTTTTCAATTTGTCTCAGTGATTTCATCACGATTCGATATTTTCGTTGAAAATGAAATGGAGTAAAAAAATCAATCATTATGAACTTTTGTTCCCTACTTGTTTTTAACTTACTTTTCGGTACGGGTACTTTAAAGAAGTAGCCCTGTTTCAAAGAAAGGGGTTTAGAGAGTACTTGCTTGACTGTACTGTAGTCCAAGGAGAAATAATTAGCATTCTTCAACGTACAATATTAATCAGTTTGCTTTAGTGGTTAAAGAGGAAGAAACCAAATGTAAACAGTCAGGTCTATCACGTCTATATGCAATGCTGGTACAGTACTCCTTCCACATTTTACTGTGCTTTGCCCTTCAAGGGCTACAGATCATCAAATCATCATCCAAAGGAGGCTCATTGACAACCTTCTACCACTGAAAGTCACACTGCATGCAGTGGCGCTAATTTTAAGTGGGCCATTCCTGAGGAGGGGCACCCTCTGTAAGGACAACCTCTCACCATTTAAAACAAATCCACTCCTTTTTCGCGGAAACATTTAATATTTTAGAGCCACGTTCCTGCAATGACATGAAAATACTGTTCACCTGGAACTCATCAATCGGAGACTGGACGATGCCAAATTTCTGGCATTTGCTCATTAGGCCAAGGGTAATACCCTGCAAACACCTAGAAAGCCCTACTTCAGCACCTCCCGAGTCTGAGTGAGAGGGCCGACCCCCCGAATTTGTGATCCCATGGAAGGGGGGTGACGCCCCCTCATTTGTCTACAGCGACTTCTAAAAACACCGCCAGCCTAGGCTGGATATTTGTTCTCAGGCCAAGTGTTCCCAGACTTTGTCCTCTGGCCTTAAAGTGAGGCGCGGACGCGTCGGCCGAACGCCCCGCTGACCAGAGCAGGCAGGGCGGGTGCAGGCGGGGTGTCGGCCGTTGGGGCGCCCCACCTGTGCGCGCTCTAACCCTCCGCAGGCGCTGGGCGGCGCGCGCCGCGGACTCGGTCCCTGGCGGCCGTTGGGCTCCACCGGGCCGCAGCGCGACGGGCTGCCGCGCGCGGGGCAGACCCCGCCGGCCGCGGCGCTCAGGGGCTCCCGCGAGCGCGCTCCGTTGGTGCACGCGCGCGTCTCCGCTCCGCTCGGCCCCGCCCGTTCGACGCGCGCCCCCGCCCGGTCCGCTCGCCTCCCCCACCCCCAGCGCGGACGGGGTGGATCCTGCACACTCCCCTCCCCTGAGCGCCGGCGGCAGGCGCTGAATGAGAGACGCGGACGGCTCCGGCCGGAGAGCGCTACCCGCGGCGGCTGCGGCAGCGGCGGAGCGTGAGGCCAGCGTCACCCTTCCATCCTCCGAGACGACCGCCCCGGCTGCCCAGGTCTGTGTCGCGGCCGCGGGGCGGGGCGGGGCGGGGCGGGAAGGTGGTGCGCGGCGCCCCCCGGGCGGCGGGGAATGGCGGCGGCGCGGGCGCTGCGGTGTGCTGCTCTCCTCGCCGCGGGCCTGGGGCCCCGGGCTGCTCCCTTCCGCGCGGGATGGGGCCGCAGCGCTCCGGCGGACTGAGTGGGGTGCGGGGGCCGCGCCTCCTGTGGCCGCTCGCTTCGGGGGTCGAAGCTGCCGGGGGTGGTTGTCGAGGGACGCGAGGACCCCCAGAGTCGCCGCGTCTCGCTGTCGCTGCGCGGATGGCGGAGGCTCCTGGCGTCTCCCGCGCGGGCCGGGCGGCGCCTCACCCTCCCTCAGGTGAGCGGGAGCCCGCACCGCTCCGCCGGGACCCGCCACGCCGGCCACACCCCCTCCTCCGGCCGGGCGGTTGCACCCCGAAGCCGCGGTCAGGGTGACCTGTTGCGGGGACTGCCCGCAGCCCGGGTCGCCGCCAGCCTCTGCTGCGGATAGGTTGCGTGCTCCGCGCGGCGGACGCTGCCTGCGGTCTAACTTGCTCTGGGGTCGGGAGCGGGCTTGCTGAAAAAGGAGGGAGATTCCGGCCGTATCTGATCAAACACTTGCAAAGCTGCGAGATCTGCCTGCAAATATCAGGAATTCCATTGCAGTTTCGGATTAGGGAGGCTCATAAACACCGTGCTTTGGAGGTGATGTGGGAGGAACTCGAGCCGCGGTCGAGCAGCTGGTATCTGGAAGATAGCCTAAACCTGTGCGGAGCTGAATTATTCCCCCTCAGAGCTCTTTTCCTGTAGCTATGTGTTGTGTAGACGCAGGCCAGTTTCAGTGTACGTGGGCGTGTTTGGGAAGAAGCTGCGAGTTGATAGGAGCTACCTTAGTACAGTACAAATGTTAATTTGTTTGAGCTGGGAGGGGTGAGGGAGGAAGAAGAAAGGGCACTGATGTTAGCTGTGGAGGAGGGGCAAGAAAGCAAATTTCTGCTAAGAAAGCGCCAAAAAGAAGTAGCTAATGCCCACTGTTTTTACATAAAGTAGAAACACACAGGCAGCAATTAATGAGACTTCATTTTATATGTGCTTCGTATTTGGCCCTTCCCCAACACTTTAGTTGCTATAGAGAGCTTTGTTTTCCTACCAGTGTTTAGGAGTTGACTGTGGTTTTTAAAATTATTTGCAATCAGATCGACTTATGTTCAAGTCTCTGAAGATGGCCATTAGAATTTTGGGAAACTTTTTCAAATCCGTGCGTGCAAAGTATTGTAGTGACATAGACCATAGCTTGCTAGTTGTAAAGCCTGTTCCACTCAGATAATTAGCTTGTATAGGCTGTAGAGTCATAAATGTATTACACTTACTACTGAACATCTTAGTCGAATGTTTTGAATTATAATGGAGGTCACAACCAAACAATGTTATTTTAATAAAAATTACCTGTAAAGTTTGTAGGTCTGATGTTTATCATGCAACTTAAAAGATTTGGGAAGTAACTTTTTTTTTTTGGTCCCAGGGATCGAACTCACAACCTCTTGCTTGCCAGGCAGGCACTTATGCTGCTGAGCTAAATCCCCGGTGAAAATAACTTTTGTTAGCCAGATCTATAGTTAAGCTGCATTCCATAGATGGTATTTATTTATTTAGTCTTTTTGAGACATGGTCTCACTATGCAGTTCAGGCTAGCTTTGAGCTCATTTTGTAACCCAGGCAGGTCTCCAACCCGCATTGATCATCCTGCCTCAGCCTCCTGAGTGCTGGGATTACAAATATGCGCCGCCACTCCCAGCTGATGCTATTTTGAATAAATAATTTAAGTAGAATTATTTTAAATTTAATTAAAAAATTTTAGCATAATTTTGAAATCATAGGGTGCCTTTTTCCTATTCCAGCTGTCATAGAATTAAGGAATTTGAAGTTTTAAGATGTTCTGGACAGTACTCTGAAAATATTGTTCACTTTGCATGATTATTGCAGATTGCAAGAGAAAGTGCTCAAATATCAAGATGGCAACATACTCATCTGATACTTGTAATAAATTCACTAAAATTTTGGCAGGAAAATTAAAAAGCTAACTTTGTGAAATAGATATATGTGTAATTGTGTGCATTTAAATTCCTAGTGTATGCTGTTCTTGGTTATTCTGTCATTATAGTTGAGATACTAATCAGGTCTAGTGAATGATGAATACTAGGTGACATTAGAAACATCTAAGTTTTGGTCCAAAGGCATAGGTGATAACGTTTGCTCATTCTGTATTTACATATTTATTATCTAGTACATAGTGCTGGTCCCCTCCCTAGGATGTTGAGAATACAAGAGGAAAAAAAAATAGGTTTGTGCCCAAAAAAGGTGAAATAGTAAGGAGGCAAGTCTGTTAGTTTGACAGTTTAAGGAGTAGCCTTTTGGTTAAGAGTATTGTTTGTGTTTTTCCTCCTAAAAATATAGGGAATTATTACTACTTAGGGATCAAAAGCATTAAGACACTTGTTTTAAAATTACAGTTACGTTTATACACATTGAGTATCTGGTTTCCAAGTATACCAAAGATAAATATTCTACCTGAAGCAGTTTACATGTGGTTAGACAGCTTTATTCTTTTAGTTTATATAGTTAAATGAAATGTTTCTGAAAATACTGTGTCTCATCACTTGTTTATAAGGGAGTCGACTTTTTTTGTAAGTTTAAATTTTTTTTTTTGTCTTTTTCGTTTTTTATTGGTACCAGGGATTGAACTCACGACTGTCTGCTTGCAAGGCAGGCGCTTATGCCGCTGAGCTAAATTCCCAGCCCCAAGTTTAAATTTTTAAAATAATCACTTTTTTCCCCCTGAACTAGTGCCCTATTGTTCTTTCACAGAATATCCATAAGCCATTGTTCCTGAAATAAGATTGCTTTCCATTGCAATTAAAGTCTGATATTGTTGTGGTTCTTTGCAGGCTTTAAGACTTTTTATATGTTCTTTATACTTAAATATTTTACTGATTGTCTGGGCTGCAAGTAATTAACATTGCCGCTGTGTAGGCTTTGTCTGTCTTTTACATCAGAAAACTAAGGTTTGGAGATAATAAGCACACGACCAGTGAGCAAGCAGTGTGTGATGTTCCACCTTAGGAGTGGACAGGTTGGGGGGAAAACATCAACAATGGGTGCTGTAGGCCAGCATTTAATACACTGCACTCTGCTTCTTTGGAAATTCCTAAATGACTTTTAAGCCTTAACGCAAGCTGTGAAGTGAAATGTAATTAATGAAGTTTTCTTTTGGTGAATTAAAGCCTATTTTTCCTCTAAAAATACTACTTACCTTGTGTAGAGTAGCAGCAGGTAGTTTGGATTTGACTTTTTTAAAATGGTCCTGGGCCATGCCTGTGCTAGGCAAGCACTGTGCTGCTGAGCTAGGGAGGGTCTTGCTAGATTGCCTGAAGTGTACCCTCAAGCTGTTTGTGAGCTCCAAGACTGGGGATATCATGCCTCACCCACTTAGTTTACTTTCAAAGGTGTTAGTTTTTGAGATTAAGATAGTGATCTTTTGAATATGAGGTTTTTAGTTTGTAATGGCTGTTTTTGAAGTGAAATTGTCACTTCCAGGTAAGACTGGAAGGTTTTGTGGGGTTTTTTTTTTCAACTTTCAATGAAAGGATGATTTAGGTGGTTTGAAGCTATCTCAGTCTCAGTGAAGCCCCTGGGAAGGAAAAATGTATTGCATTATCTTATAAATGTCAGCTGTACCTTGAGTACAGTTGAATAAGACAATGAGGATTGGATGTGATAAATGTTAGTATCCCAGACTTAATCTGGAATCTTTCCTTTTTTGTGTATGGGGATTGAATTCACAACCTCACTTTTGCAGGCAGGCCTTAGCCACTGAGCTAAATCCCCATCCCCAAGTAATCTTTCCCTTTTTTGATTTTTTTTTGGGGGGAGGGTTCTTTTTTGAGACACGGTCACACTATGCAGTTCAGGCTGGTCATGAGCTTATTTTGTAGCCCAGGCTGGTCTCTTGCCTCAGCCTGCAAAGTTCTGGGATCACAGGAATGTGCCACCATCCCCAGCCTTTTTGAATAACTAATGATGGCATGCTTTTTGATATTTTGAGCTTTTGATTTAGGAAAACTTCTCCAAGTACATAATGGGGATAAAAGTGTAATTTAAAATGTATGAAAGCAATCTTATTTCAGCAACAGTAGCTTATGAATTTCTGTGGAAGAGCAGTAGTATACTGGTTTATTCAGAAAAAAATTATTTAAAAAATTTAAACTTAAGAAGAGTAGATTCCCTTGTAAATAAGTGACCAGAGACAATATTTAAAATGTGGAAGGAAAAAAGTTGGATCTAAATCTGCCTGGTCACTTTAATAGTTAGTGGTTAGTTAGCCTTAGTGGAAGGATGTACAGTACATGCTTCTTCTCCCCTCCATTAATCAGGATAGAGCAGCACTTACATGACAGTTTGAGAGAAGGTTTGGCAATTCATGTGTGCTACTGCAGAAAAGAGACATTTTATGACGACCTTACCCCATCACCCTTTGTGCCTTTATTTTCGGTACAGTATTATCTGACATTATAGCATCCTTTTTTTGCATCCTTCTCTGAAGGTAAGCTTTCTGAGGTCAAGGACTTAGGTTGGCTGGCTTTCTTTCTTAAAGATGAAGTTTTGTTTACTATCTTCCTAGAAAAGATAGAAAAATACCTGACACATAGATAATGGGTAGCTATTGGGGAGGAATGAGTGAATAAATATGTACTAAACAGTATGAAGACTACTTGTTCTTTAAAAAAAATGTAATACTATAACACTACTGTGCAGGTATAAAAACTGTTCTACAAGAAATAGCAAAACCCATCATCTCTTAACTTTCCTTCCCAAACCAGATGTGGTGGAGCATACCTGTAATTCCAGAACTCAGGAGGCTGAGGCAAGAGGATTGCTGTGAATTTGAGGTCAGCTTGAGCTACACAGTGAGTTCAAGGCCACCCTGAACTGCATAGGGAGA